TGTGCGCCCAAATTAGTTTAGGCCAAAAGTTTTAGCCACAGCAGCTTAACCTCAAAATCCCTCCGAGCAAGCCCCTACAGTTGAGAGAGGTGTGCGGGTGGAGGTGGCTGGGTAAAGGGAAATGCGGCGCCAAAAACGAGCAGACAACAGCGTTAAGTGATTTTCTATGTGATGATACTTGAGCTCTACAGATTATGATATCACAAATTTCGTTCGTTCCACGACTCGGCTCGCCTCGCCTCGCCTCGCCTTGACTCCTTGGCCCATGTTCTGCGTGGCAACGTGTCCTGGTCTGCCCGTGTCCCCGTGTCTTGGTGTCCTCTTGTCTCCCGTTGTCAATGTGCGCGTCATCAAGTTTTTGGGCAACAGGCCAGAAACAGCTTTTGGCTTAAGCTTGATTTCTTTTGCTCTGCCCTGTGCTCCTCCCCACCCCATTCCCTCTTCACTGTCAGTTGTTGTTGCAGCTCCCATTGAAAGTTTTGTGCGTTTTTATTACTTTGCGGCAAGTTCCAGCGTTTATTATTCTTTTGTGTGCACACGCCGCGCAACGCCAAGTGGCATGCAGCAGGGATATAACTTTGAGCTAACCCAACGGGGTTTTTAAGCGCAGCGAAACGTAAATAGTTTGAATTACAGGGTATTAACGTGGCCAGCTTGAGGGCGAGCAACTTAATTTGATTTCTGATTAGAAAACTAATTTCATTTGGATGAGCCATTTAATGTGTTACTCAAATAAATAAATCAGTTAGCAGGGAAATAACCTATAACAAGTGAGAGGTTCTAATCGGGAGCTCCCGACTAGAGCCTCTTACTTGTTTTTAATGTAAATAATTATTCAATTTTTCCATGCAGTTCTTCTTTTATTAAGTTTTATAGCTTAAAAGAATTGTTATTTCAAAATATGTTCATTCAAGAAAATCTCAACTAATTAATAATATTAAACTTCGAAGCGCTGCTCAAACTGCGGCACAATAGCTCTCCAACCATTTGGCTTAACACCACGAAATGCAATTAAAAATTGAAATTCAATTACGCACACTCACAAACACACACTCGCACACTCGCCGCTAATCATTCCGGGCTGATGAGTTGGGGCATCCGCTGGGATGATGAATGCAAGTGAAGTGCAACAGCTGCACTCAGATGCTTAAAGGGCTGAATGTACCTAGATATGTGTGTGTGCGGGTGTGTGTGCCAGTGTGTGTTTGCGGGGGCGTGGTCACGTTATCGCACTTGACGCCATTTGCTCGAGTGTTTGCACTTTGGGGGTGCCAACAATTTGCATGCTGTCGCAATTCGAGCAAACCCAAAGAGCCCCATCCAAGCCCAACCGCGCTACTCTCCTCCCTTTCAAGAACTCTCAGGCATGCTGCTGGCAAGCATCCTAATCTCAAGCTAAAACCCGACCGAATCTCACGCATGACAACGCCAAATAGGTAAGCAGCAAAAAGTGCAACAATAAAACCAGGGAATGCCGCGAAAAAGTCGGGCAAAACCGAACACAAAATGCTCTATAAAGATGACAGTAAATAAACATTGAGAATAGACAATTTTTACTTTTGTCAGGAACTGTTTTTTTATCCCTTCTGCCTGAAGCTATTTACTATTAAAATATTTATAATAAAAAATACATTTTGTATTAAAAATCTCTTTATTATAAGAAAGAAATTATAAATAGTAACTTTTATGATATACTCTATACTTGACCATAAATCATCTTACAATTTGAATACTTTGAACTTTTCGTAAAATATATGCTTATATGCAAAGCATGTCATGAAAATCGAATTTACATATTTGAAGAGCCTAACAATAAATAACAATAAGTATATATAGAAAGCATACAAAGTATAATCTGCTTGAAAGTCGAAAAGAGCTAAACAAGAGTTGATCACATAATTTGTCAGCAGGATAAATATTTGCCAGCCACATGACTGGTGTGCCTGATGTTAACGGCCAAGAAAACTGCCAAACGAACTGCATTTCTTAGTTATTCTAACCCCATTCTGAAAAGGTATAAAAACTGTCAACATATATTCCCCAAGCTCTCCTCCAGGGGGAAGGGAGGAGGGATGCACAACAATGACGTGTGCACAATTTGAAGAGCTGAGCTTTAGAGTTCAACACTTTGGTGGGCAAGGGATGACAGCTGGGAAGAAAGGGGCAGGGCTTGGAGAGCGGATGGCTTTTAAGCTCTGTCGCTTGGCACACTTGAGACCAACTGTGAACGGAATGCACTCCAGCTGCAATTAGCAGTCAATGGGCCAATATAGCTTGATCTCTTTTGTTTTTTTTTTTTTGTTTCGTTTAACCCACAGCCCTACGAGATGTACCAGTGGACGCACACGGAGCAGCCAACTACCTCGCTGCCGCTTACGCCCGGCAAGCTGGACAAGGTGGCCGCCTGGCCGTTCTCCAGCACGCCGTCGGCGACTCAGAAGCACTACGAGGGCAGCTCCACGCAAACGGATAGCCAGAAGACGCTGCAGCAGATCTTGCGCAAACGTCTGCTCAACTGCGCCACACTGGCCGAGGTGCACGCCGTGGTTAACGAGCTGCTCAGCAGTGTGGACGAGCCGCCCAGGCGACCATCGAAGCGCTGCATCAATCTCACCGAGCTGCTCAACGCCAGCGAGGCGACCATCTACGAGTACAACAAGCCCATAGAGGGCAAGAGCTATGCGGATGCGGCCAGCCAGACGGACGAGCAATGCCTCGGCTCCTGCCAGTGTGGTGCAGTCAATGGTGTGCCGGAGCCGCAGCTGGAACAGAGTCAACAGAACGGTATCGCAGTGGAGCCACCGGCACCGGAAGCTGCACCGGCAATTGCACCGCCGCCACCACCGCCACCGCCGCCGCCACCACCACCACCGCCGCCGCCGCCGCCTGGCATGACAGCTGCAGCAGCACCACCGCCGCCGCCGCCGCCACCGCCAGGCGGTGGACCACCGCCACCGCCGCCACCGGGGCCTGCCAATGTTGGCAATGGGCCGCCGCCGCCGCCGCCACTAAGCACCTCCAAGTCGGGCACAGCTCTGGCGCCGGCGCCACTGCCAGATCCCGCCGAGGGCAATTGGTTCCTGCGCACAAGCGGTAAGTGGAAGGGGAGTGAGGTTTGGCCGTAGCCTTTGAATCATCTGTTGCTTTATTGCTTTCCAGTTCAACGCAAAAGCGCCGTCAATCCGCCGAAGCCCATGCGCCCGCTCTACTGGACGCGCATTGTGACCTGTGGGCCGCCCGTGCCGCGTCCACCTTCGATCGCCAACTCAACGGACAGCGCGGACAACAGCGGCAGCTCACCAGAGGAGCTGCCCGCGACTGGCAACGCGTCCGCTGTGCCAATGGCGGCGCCTGTGCCAGCCGCACCCAGCAAGGAGATGTGGACAGAGATTGATGAGACGCCGCTCGATAATATTGATGAATTTACCGAGCTCTTTTCGCGCCAGGCCATTGCGCCGGTTACCAAGCCCAAGGAGCTCAAGCCGAAGCGTGAGAAGTCCATCAAGGTGCTGGATCCGAAACGTTCCCGCAATGTGGGCATCTTCTCCCGCAGCTTGCATGTGCCCGCCAGCGAAATCGAGCATGCCATTTACCATGTAGACACCTCGGTTATAAGTCTGGAGACGCTGCAACAGATCAGCTATATGCGCGCAACCGATGAGGAGCTGCAGCGCATCAGGGAGGCCGATGGCGGCGACATACCGCTCGATCATCCCGAGCAATTCCTGCGTGACATATCGCTCATCTCGATGGCTAGTGAGCGCATCTCCTGCATTGTCTTCCAGGCCGAGTTTGAGGAGTCTGTGACGCTGCTGGTGCGCAAGCTGGAGACGGTATCGCAGCTGTCGCAGCAGCTCATCGAGAGCGAGGACCTCAAGCTGGTATTCTCCATAATATTGACGCTGGGCAACTACATGAATGGCGGCAATCGGCAGCGCGGCCAGGCAGATGGGTTCAATCTGGACATACTAGGCAAGCTGAAAGACGTCAAGTCCAAGGAGTCGCACACAACGCTGCTGCACTTCATCGTGCGCACCTATATAGCGCAGCGCCGCAAGGAGATGACGCTGCCCGAGATGACACTGCCCATTCCGGAGCCCTCCGATGTGGAGCGTGCCGCCCAGCTGGACTTCGACGAAGTCCAGCAGCAGATTAAGGAGCTGAACAGAAAACTTACGGGTAAGTTGCAAATGCTTGGAATGCATATCATAGATACTAATCCCCGTGCTAATCCCTACAGCTTGTAAACAGACTACGGCATTGGTGCTAAGCGCCTCCAGTGAACATCGCGAGCCCTTTAAATCCAAGATGGAGGAATTTACCGCTAGTGCAGAGAAATCGGTGGCCAAGCTGCATCAGTTGATCGATGAGTGCCGGGATCTCTTTCTGGAGACGATGCGATTCTATCACTTCTCCCCAAAGGGCTGCACCCTCACCTTGGCTCAATGCACGCCCGATCAGTTCTTTGGTTATTGGACAAATTTCACAAACGATTTCAAAGACATTTGGAAAAAGGAATTTACAATTATGAGAAACGAAATGTAAGCAAATTATTCAAACAGAATCAATCTCGGTTTTCTAACGGTTTTTGGCCTTTTGTCTTTGTTTGTTTTTTTTTTTCTAGAATAAAAAAACCGAAGCAATTGGCGGTGGAAACTCGCCGCGATAGCTCCACTAAGGATCGAATTTCGTGCAAGGCGCGCGTACGACGCAGCAAAAACTAGTTCTTAGTCCAAAATTTAGTCGTAGAGTTTCCTTTAAGCTTAACAATAAAAATCAAAAAAATCCTCGCACCATTCAAAATTACTCAAAAACATTTCACTTTGAAATTGTACAATAAAAAAAAAAAAATACAAAAATACTAGTGCTAAATTTACAACAGATTTCGCAACACTACACTTTAACACTATTTCTTTGATTATCTAAATTGGAGCTATCGGGCGACCACCACACAATTAATCGGCTGACCATTTTGAGTAAACAAATAATTGGCCGCAAAACTGGCGCCTCATAAGACAACAATCTCGACAATTATAACAAGAGCATGTCGCATCCAAATACAACGCGTCGCAAGCATGTGCTCAAGGAGATGATGGAGGATGACTATTCGCTGCCCACGGAGCGGCAGCAGATCGTGTGTGTGGTCAGCAGTCGCGGCAACAATCTGCACGAGGTCGTGCCAGCGGGACTGGCGTCTGATAACTTTCTGGGTGAGCACGAAGCAGTGAAGCAGTCTCTGTTGATATTGATAACCAACAGGTAAGAACTTACATTTTCTAGTATCCATGCCCAATAAGTTCCGCAAGAATGTGTGGGTTAAGCGGGGCGACTACGTACTGGTCGAGCCCATTGCCGAGGGCGACAAAGTCAAGGCGGAAATCTGCAAAATACTAACGCCCGAGCACGTCAAGGAATACACAAAGGCGGGCATTTGGCCGCAGCGTTTTGCCAAAAAGTCGGCACAGGCGTCGCAAAGTCCAGATAACGCTGCTGCCGAGCATTCAGATTCCGATACAGACGATTCCCTGCCGCCCAACACAAATCGACCTGTCAATGTACAAAACGTTGAGGACGAGGAGACGGATACCGAGGAGAGCAGCGCTGAAGACTGAGATTGCAGTGCATTTGTGATTGTGCATTACAAAAGGTTTAGCTATGTATATTTTGTAACGAATTGTTTTTCCTCGCCAATTGTTTTAACAGAAAATTGTGTGTGTGCTTATGACATACATAAACCCAAAAAAAACTACACAAGTTATGCGCTTTGTTTGTTGCTGCTGCGGCTGCGTCCACTGATGCAAAAGCTAAGAAAAGCCTACAAAAGCCTAATAGTGCCTAGATAATGCAATAAGTGAGTGGGCTTGGCTTAGTAAATCCTACTCCTGTGCATCACAGATTTCGATGTTTTCCTTGTGCTCCTGCTCTTGAGTCTCGCCCAGTGGCTGCTGCTGCTGCTGCTGCTGCTCCTGTTGTTCCTGCTCGGCTGTCAATTTTCCGGCATGTAGCGCATCGTGCTTGGACTCTGCAAGCGCCAAAGTTGACGGCCTGGTTTTCGTAAAGGGGAAATTGCTCAAATCTTCAAATTGTGGCGTATGCACGGCAATCAGATCCGTTTGCGTGGAGCTGCTGTCACGCGGCTCAAAGCTAGGGTATTCGACCTCCTCGCCATCCGAGCAGCTGATGTGCTTCTTGAGCGCATCCTGTGGCAAATTGCAGACCATGGTCAGGCAATTGACAATAGTGCCAATCGAGCTCTGCAGCTGCTGCACCTGATCGGTAAGCATTGTGCAACGCTTCGCCAAATCATTTACAACGGCTGCCGAGTTCTGATCCAGGCACAGTTGTCCCTGATTCGTGTTGTTGTTGCTGCTGCTGCCTGCATTCTCCGCATTTGTGCAAGCGCTGATATTGGCGCCATGCTCGCCGCCAGCCTTGGGATCTACTTGCATGGTAGACACCTTTTTCCACAGCGCATTGATGGCCTGCATCTGAAGCTGTTGGATTTTGCGCTCGTTCTGCAGCTGCGCCTTAGTCAGCAGCATGTCCTTGTTGAGTTTACTGTTGTGAGAGATAATATATAAGTAATATAATGCCTGTTGGCCGAGCGGCTGCACTTACTCAATATACTCGTGTGTGCGCTGTTTGTGCAACTTTTCGGCAATATCTTTGGTTTTCTTGCGCGTATGATAGCCGCGCCACATCTTCTGTATAGTCACCGCGGAGGATTCAGTTACATGCTCTATCAGACGATCTGTGCAGTTCAGATTATTGTTGTCCAGCTGCTGTTGCTGCTGCTGCTGTGCACGCTCCGCAGCCATTTTACGTATAGTTTTTAGCTTCTCAATGTTGATCTGCTCGCCGTCGTCATCAGTGCTGCAGCCGCCAGCATCTGTTGTGCTGACCGATGTGGCATTCATCTGGAGCTGTATTCGTTCCGCCTTGCGTGGACTGCTCGTGGGGCTCTGCATGCGTCGCAGCTGTGGACTGCGCACGCGCGGCAAATTTAGTTTGTTATCTGGCATTGAGTACATTAAAATGTGATTCAACATTAGTATATTAATTTCGATACATTCGATTTAGAAAGCTTGCTTGGCTACCTTTGTTCTTGTTGCCTTTGGTTTTGTGCATCTGCGTGTTGAGGGCCGTGACTGTTGCCCGCTGGGCGACGGCGGCGGGACACACATCGGGACTCATTAACGTCTCCGGCACAGGCACCATTTTTGAGGCAGCAGCCAAGGGTCCGCCCACAGGCGTTTGCCCAATAAACGTTTGTTCTACGCAGCCAAATGATGCAAGAATTAAGGTTAAGGCTTGGGTTAAGAACAATCTCACGTACCGTTGTATGGGTTTGGCGTTATGTTGCGAGGTGTTGACTCCGTCGAGTTATAGGTTTTGGTGGTCACGCTGCTGGACAACCCGGACATGCTGGCCAGCGAGAAATTATCGCCATCGTTCCGAATATTCTCAATCAGCGAGGTGCTCATTTGCAGCGCATGATTTGAGATGCCATTGTCGCTGCTGATGCTATTGTTGCAGCTATTACCATGGTAGCTGTTCACCATGGACTCCGGCGAGCCCTGACGACCGCTCAAACGCGAAACTGTGGGGAGTAGACAATAATTGACCATTTATGAAGCAACAATGGGAGATCATGGCAGAGCTTACAGCGCGGCGACTGAATGCGGCTGGTTGGTTTCTTGCGATGCGAGGAAGGCGATGTACTGGCCGAACTGTTGGCATTGTCCATGATTTCCTCTTGCAGCTGCCGCTGATGGTGCTGCGCCTTGCTTAGTATCAGACGCAGCTTGCGATCATTTTCGTTCTCCAATGCCTTGCCCACCAGCGGACAGATGGGGCTTAAGTATTTGGCCAGCTCACTCTGCTCGCCAACGCGAAATTGGCGACCGCGTCCCTGACTATATAGCCACTCAGCCTTGAGGCTCTCAATGGGATCCACCACATAGCCATCAATGAACTTGAGGCTCATGCACCAGTTCAGCACAAAGGGCCGGTAGTCAAAGCCGCTGCGAAATAAAATGAAAGCCATGTGAGAGCAGACCCAAACCAAGTGTAACTTGTACTCACTCCCTGCTGTTCGGTCCCATCGTCATGTTCACACAGGGATTCTCCGAGAGAGTAATGCTTTGCAAATTGCACAGATGCGACAGCGTGCAAATCTCATTAAGATCGTTAATGTTGTTTTTGGCCAGCGTTAATGTCTCCAGGGAGACCGGCAAATACTTGTCGCATTGGCGCAGATGGGTCAATCGATTGCCCTGCAAGTTGAGTTCACGCAAGGAGCGCAAATAGGATACATCCGAGATGCTGCCTATGCGATTGTCCGCCAGGTTGAGGCACTCCAGGTTCACATTGGTATTGAGATGCTCAATGGTCTTAATGTTGTTGCCCTCCAGATTGAGCACGCGCAAATGCACGCATTCCTTTAGGCCCTCAATGGACAGTATGCCATTAAAGGAGAGGTTCAGCTCGCGCAGACAGTGCAGCCGACAGACGCCAAACATGCGCAGCAATTGGTTTTTGCTCAGCGACAGCTGCAAAGGACAATTAAGGAATCAATTGATGATAGCAGGAGTAGTGTTTCAGTGTGGGCTATATATAGGCACCGTTTCGATCTTCAGATATGAGTCAATGTTGTCAATCTTCTGCAGCTCGTTCTCGTCTAGTATTAGCTTGCGTATATTTTGGGCATCGTCCTGTTTTGGCACCTTCTTTAGCTGCTTCTTGGACAGATTTAGCGTCTGCTTTTCGCTGCAGCTCTCGTCGCCTGCGAGAGGAGAGGGAAACATGAGAGGATGCGTGTAAACAGTGATGAAGTCATCGTCTGTGCAATGCCACACATGGGCAGCTGTTGGGGGTGGTTCCATTGGCTGCCCACCCACCCTCAAAGTAGGCTGCGAATTGCAATGCACGCCAGCCAGACGGACATTAGAGCCAACGCCGACAGCGGCAGCCGCCGAAGCAGGTAAAATATTGTTTGTCAGTTGACCAGTTGAGGCACATTTGCTTACCGCTCATTTTACAACCCTGAAATTCCTGCAGTTTTTGACAAGTGACCCAACGTAGCTAATTTGGCAGCATTCACTGGCGTCCACCACGAAAAATCAATGTTTGGGAATGCGAGCGCCTCCTTCCTTTTGAAACCAGGGCTACGCGAGATTTTAATAACATTAACATTCGACAACAATGTTATTAACAGTATGCGCCTTTTAAGCAAAAATTTAATTGGGCAGGCTTAACAGTTTTAACAAGTTTTTTTTGTTGTGGCTAACAGATAGCTATGCAGAGAGCAGCGATTGACAGTGCATCCCATCGATATACGATAACAGTGCACACTCAACTAATAAGAAGTATCGACGCCGCTCATTCAGTGCAATTACGGCATTTGCCATAGCTGGTCACACTGCTCCGCTTATGTTGCGCCTAATTTGAATTTTCAAACCAATCATATTAGTGTTTTGGTGTTTATTTTGCCTACTGAGCATATAATTAAAAAATATAACAATACAATTAAAGTGAAATAACGGTTGCTTGTTTAATTATTTCAGCTGTTTGCTTAGCCCCGGCGGCACATCGGCAGATTTGTACAAGTCGCTAACCTGGCATGGCACACGCTCCAGTTCTTCCATTAGCTTCATCTCCTCCTGTAAATTGTTTAAATACATGCGCTGTACCCGGCGCATCATAGGCGCAATCACCTTGGTACTGACTAGCTCTTCGAGACAAAGAGGATTTTCGGATCTGGTTCCTGGCGCCCAGCCAGCAGAGCCCCTAACATCCTTTTGCGGATTCGCAGGCGATTTGGATAGGTTTGGCGTATTTTTTTGAATCAGGCTGCACTCTGACTCGCCCGACAAGCCCAGCGATGGCAGTATTAGCCTGGAGTTGGTACTCAGCACCAGTCTGTCGGTCATTTCGGTCATTTTATTAATGGATTGATGCAGCAGCTCCTGCATCTCTATCTGTGAACGCACCACGGTGCGCAAATTCTCACCACTTTTGGTAGTAATTACGGTCTTCAACGAATTATCCGAATCGCACTTGGAATCGCTATCCGTACCCGGATCATTCTTATCCGCATATTTGGCATTGAAATGCGCCTTTGTCTTTCTGCAATGCTCCCGTGCCGATTGCAGCATCGAAGATGACTCCTTGACCTCGACCGGATTGAAGAGCGGATCCTCGCTATTCTCGCTGCGGCCGCGACTGGACTCCTTGCCAAAATTCGAATTTCTATACAGCAAGCGATCCCCGCCAGCGCCGTCTCGATCTAGCATAGAAGCCTTGTTGCTTGGCGGCAAGGGGGGCAAACGAAGGGCACGTCGCGATTGCGGTGCATAATCCACATTGAACAGAGACTTTGGCTGCATGTAGCTCAGTTCCATACGGTATGACGGCGCATCCACCTGACGTGTCGCCCTGTTTGGGCATCTATGCACCTGAGTTTCAGTATGTCGGAAGTTCTGCTGCTGCTGCTGCTGCTGCTGTTGTTGTTTTTGTTGTGGCTGATTCGGTGGACGGATTTTCCTCGAGTGCGGCTCCGGCGGCGGCTGACTGTGGCGAATGCAAGTCTGGGTTGCTTTCTGTATGACTTCCTTGGGCCGAGGCTGTGTTTTCGACTTCTCTTGACGCATTTTCTTGCAGCGCGTAGATACTCTTGGGTTCGAGGACGAAGAGTTATTGAATTGCAGTCTCTGCCTAAGCACAGTCGGATGACTGTGCATGGGCGCATTCTGTATTGGATTATGGGCATTAGAAGTCGAGATAAGTTTCAGTTATTGCAGCATTAGCCTACCGACTCTGTCTGAGTGCTGCCTTGGTTGGTGTTAAATTGTTCATCATGCAAGTACTTGCTGTAAGCATCCATTTTCGAGAGTCTCAAAATCTATCTTCCAGCCCGACTCGTATTATTTCAGAATATTTTTCAGTCTGGCAGCTCGCACGCAGTAAATCGAAATAAAATTATGGTTATGGAAATCATACTCCTTGAAAGTTCAAGGCACTGCATAGTGTATCTTAGTATCTTAGTATCTAAAGAATCTAAGATATAGCATTAAATATTTCTATAGTAAATAGATCAATTAGAAACTTTTGGGATACATAATATAAGGCTTATATTTTCGTAAAAACTAAAGAAAGAAAGCTCTGAAAACTTCTTACAAATCCTGCTTATGTCTTACATATGGCCGGATATGTCCATCAAATGAAGATAAATTGCAAACTTAATTATTAACATAATTATTAGTTGTTAAGTTGTTAAACATGTGGCGAGCGATGAACCAGTTCCGGAATCAGTGAAATTCTGCACAGGATTTGCAGCGCTTTATCTCTCTCTCTCTCTCTCTGGTTCAAAGTCTCTCTCTCTATCTCTCTCTCTCTGCTCTGGTTCTCCTTGCCTCAGCAGCTGGGTCTCAGCAGCACTTGGCTCTCAGTCTTTTGCTGTCGTTCAACGTTGTCGGTCGTCGTCGTTTTTGTGACCGCCTGATTTGAGGCTATTTCGCTGCCCGTGGTCGTTGCTGCTACTGTTGTTGTTGCTGTTGTTATTGCTGTTGTTGCTGTTGCTGCTGCTGCTGCTGCTAGTTTGCGTTGCACGTCGCCTTCACACGCCCCCCGTTTACGAGCAGCCCGCCCCGCACGCTCAGCTCGCAGCAACGTGCCGCGAACGCGTGTGTCTGCCTAGCCTATCTCTGTGCCTCCGTGCCACAGCCAGTGTCCGTGAGTGCGTCTATATGTGCACGTGTGTGTGTGTGGGCAAATGTTGAAAGCAGCAGCATGGCCAGAAAAGACAGCACAAAAAACGTTGCATACTTTCGGGCGCACTGAATAATGATTTTTGTGTGCCCGCTGCGTGCGGTGTGCAAATTACAAATGCAATAAAAAATACAAATTGAATTTTCGCCAAAAATCTATCATCAATTTCAAAATGTGTGAACATCTGCTGAGAAAGCCCAAGGAAAGTCCAGTAGTTAAATGTGTGAAGTGACAAAATAATAATAAGTATATTAATAAACCAACGAAATAAAATCATAGAGAGGAAAATATGCAGGCAGCCAAGACGAAATCGACGCTAAAATACAAATCTGACATTGGCAGGAGCACGCAGCACACACTCACACACATGCCCAAACACACACACGCGCGCGCACACACATACAAATGTATAACACACAAATGCAGAGGCGACAACAGCCTGCGTCCTGTGCCCAACATTTTGGCCGATGAATGAACTGACATAAAACTTGAAGAGCATAGCCAGAAAAGCCCACACACTCACACACACACACACACATACACAGGCGCAAAGAAGCAAATACAATCAGAGCCACACATAGTCGCACACACACACACACACACACACTCACACACAACATTGAAAAGCATATAAAAAGGCCATTTTCGTAGATTTCTGCGTGCCCTTGTCAAAGTAATAGAAATCGAAATAGAAACTTCCCTGGAACGTGCCGCGCATTTGCCACGAGAAAATCAGCAGCAGCTGCAAATAAATTTCACGAAACCAAAATAAAAAATCCAAAAATAAAAGAAGGTGGGTCAAGTGCAAAAATACATTTTTTTTTTATTTAACTAGTTGTATACACGAAATGTGGCCGCCCACAACAAAATTTATAGCACGCTTTGCAGCGCGCTGTTGTTGTCCAACTAAGTCCAAAAATAGAGCAACGATTACACCACACACACACACACACACACACACACAAATACACACATACATGAACACGCACACGCACACATGCTAGTACACATTCATATATATTTACATATGCAGCGCAGCATAAATCATAAAGCTTTGGACAGCTCAAATTGTAGCCAAATGTCAATATAACACTTTTAAGTGGAGCCGCTGAGCATGAGTTGATGGCTGTGCGGGAGATCGGGTGAGCGGGCAGCGCTAGCTGGCTGTTGTACATAGACCAGCCCAACGTGTTTTCTAACAAACAAAATACTCACACAAACACATAAACACTCTCGCACACATACAGGAAGTGACAGGCGGCTCTGGGCTGGCGGGGCGACCAGGCGTGCTTAGGCAAACGCCTGTCTGCAGCAATTTCACTTCCTTGAAATCCATTGCCCAACAACAACTCACACTCAATTCTACTCACTCACGCGCGTTCACTCTATCGCTCTCTCTCTCTCTCTCGCTCGCTCACTCTCTAATTTTGCGCTGTGCCAGCTTACTATGTTGCTGCTGCTGGCTCTGCTGCTGCTAGCTCTGCCTCAGCCTCTGCTGCTGCTTGCTCTGCTGCCATTTGCTTGCTACGCTCTTGCTCGCTCTCCACGCAGTCGCTCATTTCGTTCCGCTCTTGGTTCGCGGCGCTCTCTCACGCTCTCTCACGCTCTTTGTCTGCTCGTTTTACAGCTTTTGGGCGCTTGGCTCATTTGTTTATTTTTAGTTGCTGTCATAGTAGCTACACACACCCACCCACTTACCATAACACACCCACACACCCACACCCACACACACACACACACACACATACTCACACCGATTGTATACCCACTTGTGTGTGCAATTAAGTTGCAGTTAGGCTTTGGCCATTATTAATACGGGCACTTGGTACATACGCTGACATCCAAAGTTATTCCAAGTTGCGCGTCGTCTAGCACTTGGGCATAACGAAAATTAGGAATGAAAGTGGTTCAAGGTCGCCTGAGGAACATGCAGTAATCAAATAGCTAAACGAGGTTATTGCACCGCCCGCTTGGGGGTCGCACACTTGGCCTAGGCCTGGAGAATGGATTGTAGGGGGGGGGGGGGCTAACTTGGGTCGCAGCGAGTCGAGAAACTGGCACGCAGCCTGGCCCGTTCGTCTCGGTCAGCCAGATTGGGCTCAATTTGGAATCCCGCAGCCACGTCGACGGTTCTCATTTAATGCCCGTATTTATGTAGCGTAAAACAAAAGCCAAGCGAAGATTTGCAACAAAAGTGAAAACGTGGCAACGGGTGACGGGTGACGGCAACGACTGCCTGCTCTGGGACTTTGGGACTTGCGTGTCGCGGCGTTTGCGTCCATGACATGTCGAGGCCTCCATTATGGAGCTCACGTGTCAGGTGAGTTCATGCCGTCCGCTGAGGGCGTCAGGAAGAGGGGGGCGGGGGCGGGGACGGGGCCGGGGACAACAGCAACTGAGGTGTTCATTTCAGTGAGACGCGCATAAACACATATAAAGCAATGATATGCATAAGCCACACACACACACAAAGCTCGCTAAATATCCCGTTAGGAGAGCTTACGTAAGCAGCGTCCGCTGCGCCTGAAAGCTGCCTATAATTATTTCTAAGCACCTTTTTCGGGAATTTAGCGTTGGCAGCATTTGCGATGAGAGCGTGCGAAGGCGCGAGCCTAATGAGTCCCTAATAGATCTGTCAGGAGCTATTCCCTTGGCTACACACATTTATTTAATCGCCAAGTAGCTATAAATTCATAAACTACATTAATTCTACACACTCTGCATGCAGATTCTTAGGTTTCTCATGAGGAAATCAAATGAATTATGCTCCCCTGATTTTCTGGAATTGTTGATCAAATCATCATCACTCGATTTTTTTGATTTTACATTAATTGTTATATTATGTACGAAAAAAAAAATATGCCACAGTCAATTTTAAAAAACATTTAACATAGACATTACTTTACGATCCCATGCGTGTTGTAACCTCGTCCTAGTAGGTCGTCGACTAGGAGAAGTAACTGTTGCGCTGGACGCGCATACCCGATGTTCGAGGTGGTATAATGTGAGGGAAGGTTATGTTCGCATTGGTCGTCATCGCCATTCTCACATTCTCCCTTGGATGTTCCGCTTTGCGGCTTTGTACCGAGACTCTCGGCTCGGGAGTCCGATAAAATTCAGTGGGCCGTATACGTGGATACAGCTCGCAGCTGTGCTATAATATACAATAATTTGATGTGTTCCAGAGGAATATAAAACAGCTGAGTCCAGTCCAATCCAGTTAACTCACCAGTTCGAAGCTCATTTCAGGCAGGCGGAATTAATGTGCCTCTATTATAATTTGATGTCGTAAATTTAAAAAAAAAAAGAAATGCTAAACGTATTTTTTTTTTAAGTTTTTTTCTTTTATGTGATTTTAGAGTTTTTAGAAAAAGAGAGAAATATAAGTACAGTCCAGGAAATTCTGTATACAACTTTGTACATTGGGAATATTTAAGGCATCGAAACTCCGAATCGAACGAGTTATGCGTCCAGGCTCACTTCATTTTTGATTATTATCATAATGTTTCTCAGGTGGGTGCTATGCGAGAATTAAGACTGTAAGTCCTTTCCATTTTGGAGTAAGAAAGGAAAGGAAGAATATTTCTAATATAATTATCATTAAAATGCTTGAAAGTCCCTAAAGAATTTAAGTGCTCTTCTATAAATGGAAAGCTCTAATAAGGACTTCTATTAACCTCCACTGCAGCGACGCCTAAGCTTCTCTCTTATGGCTGGCCGCAGTTAACCTCATTTGGTAGGGTCTCCTGCTGTGCTGCATTAATTACCCACTGGGAATAATTATGTTAAAAGAAGGAGGAGATACGAAAAAATCATTATGCATTATAAGTTTGTACAGCTGCTAGAGTTTCCAGCTGGCAGCTGCATTTGTTGGGCCCAAACAGAATGCGCTGCAAAGTATGCTGCATTTTAATTGAACGTCGCAAATGGCGCGACCTGGAATAGTCGCCGGAAACGGAACCAAATGAAGTCAGCATTAGCGTAAGGTAGCAGCATGCCATCGACATTTGCCTGCTCCCTGGTGACCCTTGTGGCCGGCCCGCTGCTGTTGCCTCTGCATGTCTGCTAATGAAATATTCATTTGTAATCGATAATTCCGCAAAAAAAGGCGAACGAGCAACGCGGTGGCATAATAAGCTGGCAGCGACAATCCGACAGCAACTGCCAGCTAAGCCGAGCCCCCGATCACCCAATCCCCTGGCTGGTGACCTCCTTACCATCTTCAGCGCCAGCCGCATCGAGCGACGCCATTGAGAATTTGGGGCGAGAGTCAAGTTGTCTGCAGGCCACATGCCACATGCCACATGCCACAGGCCACAGGCCGCTTGCCGTGCGACGCTCACCGCTCGCCGTTGGTCGCACAAAATAAAATTCCAATATTTTGGCTACAATTTATACGCAGTACGCGGGGCAAAAGTCGCCGACTCGCCGCATAAATCGCGATGCTCCAAAGCATATTATGCTGCCTCATTGGGCACATGGCGCATCGCTGATAAGTTCAGGGGAATCCATAAGCGAAGTTTTGAAAACGCTTAAAATCAGCGAAAGTGCGATTGTTTAAATTGCTTAGGCAATATTTGGCCAGATAGTATAGGAGAAAGGTGGGAGATGATATGGGATACACTGCAGGAAACTTGAATTGTGAAACTAAAATAATTCAGTATAAGACACATATTTAGGATAAACAAAAGTTATGGCAACTCTATAAAATCACATATTATCTAAGAACAGAGATGATATTTATGTGGGATAAAAAATAATAATATTTCAAGGCTTCAAATTATGCCTGTGCTTTTATTGCGTATACGACGTATTGTACAGCAAAATATTCAATTACTTGTAAGGAGAATAATATATAATGTTTGCCCAGTTCACGAAAAGAAAATATGCATTTAAAACAATTTAGAACGGAGCTCTTTCAAAAGCTTATCTTAAACATTTTCAACAAAAACCAAGAAGCATTAAAAAATTGAAATAAAGACAATCAATAAAACCTGTTTAACAAATATGCCATGCCTGCTCTTTGGAGCTTATCTAAAGCCATGATTTATCAGACAGTGTAATGCGTTTGGAAATCATTGCGATATTAAAACCCACACACACACACACACACACACATGTGTGTGTGCGTGTGTTTACTGGCTTGGCCCCACGCCCAATTGAAGCCCATTAGAAATTCTATTAAAAGTTATTTACGGTGCAACTTTCGGTCCATTGAATGCGACAAAGGCTGACGCTCGAGTAGTCCGCACTCATATGCTCGTATCCGCACACACATATAAAGCCATATACACGTAATATGAGTGCAAAACTCAAACAAAGGCCGTGGAGCAGGTCGGGCATTGTCTATGCACGTTCATAAATAAGAAATGCAGCAACGTTAGCACCTCAATCGTACCCAAGCCCCTCGCTGAAGCCCAGCTGAGTGACACCCCCTTCCCGACCCACTAATTGCGGCACCTCTCCGCCCAATTGTTGGCCAAAGCCAGTCGAAGCGAATGAAGCATTGACAATAAATTTGCATGCGAAGCACTTCCGCTAGATGGCAGCAGGAGTCACCAGGCGGCGGCTCAGACAGGAAGCTCCAAGTCCAAGTCGGTTTATATGTAGATGAGCATAATTGATTTCAAATTGTGTGCAAAAAGCCTCGCCAGTCGGAAGGAGTAGCGGGTTTGGGGTAGGGTTCATTGTCTGTGGCTGAAGAGCTTAATGCCATAAGGACGTTGCTTCAATAGATAGCGCACGTCTGCGTTGGGCACACGATGATGATGATGATGATGATGATGATGACGATGACGATAATGAAAGATGTGATGAAAGCCAAGCGCACTCATTAGGCACTTGAAGCAGGCGCAGCTCAGCGCAGCAGATATGCAGCGATAACAGGCACAGATAAGCAGTATGAGAGGAAGGGGGGCTCAGACGGAGAAGCTGCGCCAGCCTCGCGCTCAAACTGGAGCAAGGACATCGGCGATGGCAGCAGCAGCGAAAGCGACAACAACTTCGCATTCAAACAACGAGCGAGAGCACAAATGGTTACATTGCCTGTCGACTCTCGCACACACACACACACACACACATACAGTCAGTCTCACAGTTGTATGAAGACATATGTGCAGCAAGCTGGCAGCTAGCTGACTGTGACATGGTCCCCGCAGGTTGATTGGCCAGCTGCAGCTGCCCGCTTGTTGTCCTGCTGCCAGCAGCAGCAAGTCCTTGTGCTGCAACAACAATGACAGCTGCTACCTTCATTTGTGTCCTGATTATGACAACTCAAGGAAATGGGGACTGGCAGCCAGGACGCTAGCCAGGCAGTCAGGCAGCTTTTGGCAGGGCCTGAAATGTGCCAAAATTCTCCATGGAGTTCCTTTCGAGCAGGCATCGCTCGCACACACTCATAAGTGCTGCTGTGTCTGTGTTAATTGCCTGGCTGTGTGGCATAAAAAATATAAAAGCCTTTGCATACGCGCACGCAGCAGGTCGATTGTGGGCAAGCTACAGAGGCAGGCCGGAAATCAATTTGATTTCAATTTGAGTTGGCAGCCAAACTGACAACAGCGGCAGCTCAGCTCGTATCACCGTAAAAATCAGACAAAATTAAAATGAACAATATATGCTTTATGGGTGAAGTTGGCGTTTAAATGCTCTAGCTTAGCAATTGAAAATACTTCGATCTAAGGAAAATGGCTTAAATGCTTAAATCATATAAATAGTATTTTATAATTGTGATTAATGCGAAGTTGAGTACTTATAATTAAGATAAATACTAGCTAGCTTAGATACGAATTAATCTAAAGATAATATTCGAACGAAATACTTTTTATACCCTGAATCCATAAAAATGGTTATACGGGTATATTGTATTTGTGCAAAATCCAAATGTATGTAACAGGCAGAAAGAAGCATCTCCGACCCCATAAAGTATATATATCAGCATCAATAGCCGAGTTGATCTAGCCATGTCCGTCTGTAGAAAATTTCATAAAGATCGGTTAAAAAAAAAACCAAAGTTATATGCAACTGCGCAATTGAATAGAGCAGCATCTTTAAGAATTTCTGTATACATGTACAAACGCAAATTCATGCGCGTCTGCTTCGCATTTTATGGTTATTGCGACTTTTTCCTGTAATGCTATTTAAGTTCCTTTTTTTTAAATTATAGCCCAAATCGGCAAAATGGCAAGGGGTTAGATCACGTTTTTTTTCAAAATCGAGGTCGGTGCGAAAATCGAAACTTTTTCGATGATTTTTTTGGTTTGAATATCTCGGGTAATAGCCCTGCGCGGAGATACGACGTTCCAAAACGACATAACTCCGCGCGGAGATATGACCTTCCAAATCATCACGATTTTTTTCAAAATCAAGGTCGGTGCGAAAATCGAAACTTTTTCAATGATTTTTTTTAATATCTCGGGTAAATAATGTCTGATTTTAAATTGGTATACCTTTTTGAATGCGTACGGATCCCTACCATCAATTGGCATTCAAACAAATTAATCATCGATGGGTTGAAAAATGTTGTTGACAGAAAACTGATTCGTTCGTAAATTCCATCTCTTTGATGATTTTTTGGAATATTTCCGTCAAATAATATCAGATTTTGCAATTTCATACCATTTTTGACTCGTAAGGATCAGTTCTATCGATTGGCATCAAAAAAAGGAAATCCAAAATTTTGACCCAAATCGACAAAATGGCAAGGGGTTACATCACGTTTTTTTTTTCAAAATCAGGTCGGTGCGAAAGCCGAAACTTTTTCAATGATTTTTTTTTTTGAATATCTCGGGTAAAAGCCCCGCGCGGAGATATGACGTTCCAAAACGACATAACTCCGCGCGGAGATATGACCTTCCAAATCATCCTTTTTTTTTGAAAATCGAGGTCGGTGCGAATAGCGATACTTTTTCGATGAAGATATGACGTTCCAGAACGACATAGCTCCGCGCGGCGATATGACCTTCCAAATCATCACGTTTCTTTTCAAAATCGAGGTCGGTGCGAAAATCGAAACTTTTTCGATGGAGATATGACGTTCCAAACGACATAACTCCGCGCGGAGATATGACCTTCCAAATCATCACGATTTTTTTCAAAATCGAGGTCGGTGCGAAAATCGAAACTTTTTCGCTGGAGATATGACGTTCCAAAACGACATAACTCCGCGCGGAGATATGACCTTCCAAATCATCCTTTTTTTTTGAAAATCGAGGTCGGTGCGAAAATCGAAACTTTTTTGATGATTTTTTTTATTTGAATATCTCGGGTAATAGCCCCGCGCGGAGATATGACGTTTCAAAACGACATAACTCCGCGCGGAGATGTGACCTTCCAAATCATCACGATTTTTTTCAAAATCAAGGT